ACGCGGAGCCTGCTGTAGCCGCGCCTGCGGCACCTGGGATTCGGCCAGAGGTCGCGCAGCCCGATGTCAAGTGGATGGCGTGCCGCCAGTCGTGCAGGATCCGCTACTTCAACAAGGACACCGCTAAGTGGGTGAACAAGACGACGAGGGTGCCCATGGTTGGCTCGCCGAAGAGGTTCCAGGCCGCAGTGGACAAGGCAGCTGAAGAGCTGCAGAAGTTCTTTACACACCACCACTCACGTCCATCAGCTGAGGGTGAGGGGGGCTCGCAGGATGCGCGATGGCTCTGCACGGGGGGCACGTTGTCTGTTCGTCAGCTCATGGGAGGCCTCGTGGTGCACATGGGTGTCGCGGTGCGGGGGTGCACCGCGCGTGCGGCGGCGGCTACAGACCCTAGCACAGACACACAAACCAGTTGTGGTGTGACATGCCATGTCCTGAAAACACTGACCGCACAAGGTGGCGATCGATGGACGTACGGATGGCGGGCGGGGAGTTCCGGATGAACTCGCCGCTCCTCAGGGTTGAGTTCCTGGGAACTCGACCCTGTACAGGGTTGAGTTCACCCTGGGGGTGAACTCGACCCTGTACAGGGTCGAGTTCCTGTGAACTCGACCCTGCTCAGGGTCGAGTTCACCAGGGCCTGTCTAGACCGCGCTGGCGGCGCGCCTCCCTACCTCTGTGGATAGCACGTTGCAGGTCGTCGGATCTTAGCGTGCACGGCTGGTTCCAATGGCGGTTGACAGCGTTTTGTCAGGCGCTCAGCCTGTTAATTTAGCCTCGCGGCGGGCTTCAACTCCTCATCCCCCCCCTTGTTCCCCTCCGCGCACAGGCGGGGCCAGGTATGATAACGGCCGTACTGGGCATCTGACTTACCCCTCCCCCATCCAGTCGGGGGGCTCATGGACCCCTCGCTCTCTCCCATATCACCCACCCTCCTCGTCCTCAACGCAATCCTCATCCTCCTGGGGTTTCGTGATGCGCCCTACTGCGACGACGGCCCCATGCACGGACCCGAACACTTGCGTGACGATGGGCTCCCCCTCCCCCCATCCGTGCAGGCTTGCACACTGGGTGACGCCGCTGAGTCACTGGCGCTGCGTGAGCTAGCGGGGGAGGGGGAGGGGGGGCCCTCGTCGCGCAGGCTATCGGGTTCGAGGGCGGAGGGGGGAGTGGGATAGTCCTCGGCTCTTGCGCGCGACCACTAACGTGACGACGACGACGACGACGACGACGACGACGACGACGACGACGACGACGGCGACAGCGACAGCGACGACGACAACGACGACGACGACGGCGACGACGACGACGACGGACGACGACGACGACGATGACAAGGACGAGGCGCTCGAGACTACGGACCCCCAACGGCCTTGCCCTTTATCCTATCTTCCTCCTCATCGTCCTCTTCCTCCTCCTCCTCCTCCTCCTCCTCCTCCTGCCTCCCTCCCTTCTCCCTCATCCCTCCCTCCTCCTCATTATCCTCATCCTCCTCCTCATCCTCCTCCTCATGCCTCCTCCCTCCTCCCTGATCCCTCCTCCTCCTCCTCCTCCTCCTCCTCCTCCTCCTCCTTCTCCTCCGTCCCATCCTCTTCCTCATCCTCACCCCCCTCCTCCTCCGCACACTCCTCCTCGTCCCTCCTGCCCCACCCTCCTCCCTCCTCCCTCCCCCTGCTCATATTCCCCCCCTCCTCCGTCATCCCATCGCCATTTCTCGCAGCCGTTTTGGCCCATGCGCTCCAGCCAACTGCGGGCCGACCTGCCGTGTGGATCCAGCGTCCCTCGAGGGCTTCGCATCGATGTCCGAGCAATGTGCCGCGCGTGGCGCCGAGCTCGTGACGGCCATTCGCCAGCGCGTCGCATTCGCCTTGAGTCAAGCCTCGGCTG